ACAAGTGAAGATACACGGGGTGCAAAAAAAAAAAAAAGACCGAGATTTTTTTCATCTGCAGTCTGGTATATAATTTTTAACTATCCAAAATATGGTGGACGCTTTAATTCTATTTCCTTTACCTTAACATTCAACCCTGTTTGACAGCGATGGCATGTGTGTAGTACATTCCGGGGTGTATAATGTCATGATAGAGGAAGGATTCGTTTCAAGACCACCCAATTGGAAATTGTATGCGTGCACTCACACGTATGCAAATATACATGTGCGTATATATGTGTACGTGCATGTGGCACCTCGCGCATCCCAGCTTTACTGTGGGAGCGCACGATATGTTTTACCGCTTTGTACCGCGACACCACGTGTTGTCGCGTATTCTTTCCTCCCTTAGTACCCTTTTTCACTATTGTGATTTTTTTTTTTTTTTTTTTTTTTTTTTGTGTAAAATTATTTTTTTATCTTACAAAAAAGTAATATCATCCTCCTTCAAATTCTTTTCATTTCACAATTTTACACATGTTTGCAAAGCAACAAAAAAAAAAAAAATCACGGGAAGAAAAAGGATGGCATTCATATGTGGCATATATGATATGTTTATAAATATTAGTAATAAGACGATTACACTGATGGCAAAAAAGCAGGATGCCTCAATTTGGTCATTATCTTTTTTATGTTTAAAGGGAACCATGCCAGACGGGCTTAATTTTGCGCCACTTCCTTTTTAAGAGCAATGGAAGAATTCAGCCAACTATTTAATTGATAATGTGCAGAGAAGATACGGTACATAGGCATATATTTCTCCTTCAGAGGAACTATAAACTGAGTTAAATTGAACCATGTTTATTTTCTCTTTCGTTGCGTTTACATGCCACTTTGTTCCCTCTACACTTAGCAACAGCAAAATACATTTGGGTATGTCCCATCTTGTCACAACATTGTCATTCGATTTTGCGGGAAAACCAAATTCATTCATATGTTGGAAAGCACTTTACACGTTCGTGTTGCTTATATGCATAATTTTTTTTTTTGCTAGTAAAATTCTTCCCCCATGGCATATTCGTTCCATTTTGCCTCATGTAAAAAAAATGCCACTACAAAAATTCTCTATACAGTAAAATAAAATAAGCAAAAATGGCACAAAATATTTTTGCTACATAAAATCTCATAAAAAAAAAAATAATAAAAGAAAAAAAAACACATCCATTCATAAATACATATTTATGCTGGCATACAAGTCTGTACCCCCCGTGCAAGTGCAGAAAAAATCATAACCATCCACAGGTGCCAATTTGTTACAATGTTACAAAAAAAAGGAAAAAACACAATCCGTTGTGGGGGAAAACTGGTTTCTATCACTCGAATAAATTTCGCAAAAATGCTTTTCAAAAAAATATTCTTCAAGCTTACACAACGAAAAATGTACAAATTCGCAGCAAAAGGGAAGAATATTATAAAAAAACAGGGCATACAAAAATTATTTTACAGTTACAAGTTAAG